CTGATTTCTTCCATTCAGTTGCAATAGTATTTTATGTGTTCCAACCTCGGGTCACTATCTACAACATATGTTTTTTTTCTCTTAATGTTCAGAGCTGAAATACAATATTGATATTTTAATACTTGGTGGATCTTATGTATAGCCCCTACCTACCAGATGCATTTTAAATTACTCTGTGAAGCCCTGAAAAGCTAATGGGCTTATGGGGGCAGATGGATGTTATTGGCCCTTAGTTAAGTCTCAGACACAGCTTTCCACTTTTAAAACTCTAAAGGCCTTAGACTCCTTTCAGTTTAACACCTGGGCCACATTTATGTAAATTTTAGTACATCCAAGATTTTGTCAATTTACCTTGGCTATAGCAGTTTGTAAACTCTGTTTTTCTTGGGTTTTGAGGAAAAGGGGGGGGCTTTGTTTTATTCATTGCACAACTCTGAATTGAGTGCCCACCATGTGCGGCTCCAGTTGGGGTCTATGTGGGTGCCTTAATCAGCACAACCTTCCTGAACTTCGGACAGATACGAGCTAGCCCCGCCCCCTCCCCCCTCTGTGTGGTCTGTCACTAAGGGGAGGGCAGCCTGGTGCCAGAAGCCCATGACGCTCTCCGTGCTCAACTGTCCAACTTTATTTTGTTTCACTTTCCACGGTAGAACAGTCCAGACTCCCATCACAGTAGACCTGAGTCCCATCTCTGGCTCTACCCCTTCCCGCCTTTGTGATCTTGGAACTCCACCTGAAGACAGACATCTGCTGTGGGTTCCTTTTCTCTCATGAAGGAGAGACAAGTCCTCACTGGATAGGGTTGTTTCCATGCGACGTTGTCATTCAGAAAGCTTACTGCCATGTGTCGCATGTGGTTGGGACTTAGTAAATGATAACTGAGTGATTCCTGCCATTTTGGTGAGGTTTGGTAAAGAGCTAGGAGGAAGCAAAAAGACACTGAAAGCCCCTGGAACTCTGACCCCACAGCTGCTGGACGTGGGAACATCTTTGATTTCTTCGTTCTCTCTAATTTCAGAGCGTGGACTCTGGGGACAAGCAGGTCAGACCTGGTTGGGGGGGGGGTCCCAGTTGACCTTCATACTGCTCATGGGCTTCTGGGTGGTTCCTTCACCCTCAGAGTCCTAGCTCCCCATTTGCAAAACTGGGATGACAATCATACACTACAGGTCGCTGTCAGGATTAGATGAGGTCATGTGTTTTTGATACTTAATAAGGAGATAGTGTCTCCCAAAGGAGCATGCAATAGTAAATAGCTCCTTTTACTGTTCTCTTTATTTGTATCCCAGGTTGTCTCATCATAATGATGGGCCTGAGAGATTTCCTCAGGCACAGACCTTTGTGAAGATATCACCTTGGTCTCCATCCCTGTTGTAGGGAAGATTTAGAAACTCTCCAAAACTATTTGAAATTTCCTTTGCAGCTGAAAGCATCTTATTCTTCTAATACGCCTAAATATTAGGCATAGAATAATCTAGAAGTATAGCAGAAAATGTGATTTGGTAGACACAGGATTACTAGAAGAGTAGCAGGTTAATTATTTAGATGACACGAATGATCTGAGTACATTATAAAGCATTTCATTCTGTGTCTTTTATTTTATCCTTTGAATTATTTCTGCCCGTTTTTGAAAATACTATTTTTGTCCCCTTTATAGGTAAACCCGTCTAATCACAGACTCCTGTTTGAAGTATTTGATGAAAACAGATTGGTAAGTGGGTCCCAGTTCTTGATTTTTGCTTCATTTTTTAAAAACTGGATTTTAAAGCGGCATTTTTGAGAACTCTGTTACCTGTGTTATACTCCTGCCATACATAGCCTCCCCGGCGCCCCGAGACTCTCTTTGTCCTACTACTATTTCATAATTCTAACAGATATATTTGTATGGCTATGACAGAAAATTTATTTGTACATGTGTATGTTTTCATCATAGTCGGTGTTAGTGAAAATCACACTAGCGATACGTCAAACCCTATGCCCCTGCTCTTACATCTGGCATGTAGCGGTAGATAGACCTTTAAAGAGGCCATCACTAATCTAAACAAACCTTAAATATAAGCCAGACTACAGCCCTTTCACCCATTCAGTCGTGAATCTATGGTGATTCTCTTTGGGAAAACAGAAACGTAATTAACAGTATATAGCAAAAAGGGAATCTATATTTAGCAGGCAAAATTAAGCTGCATTTTAAAAATGGTACTTTCTCAAGGGAAGTATGTGGAAAGTACCTTTCAAGAACCAAAGATATGCCTGAGGCATAAAAGTCACAGAAATACACACACACACACACACACACACACACACACACATTGATAGGTAAAAAGTGGACACGTTACATCTGTCTCTATAATACATATAACTAAGATTTCATTTTAAAAATGGAATTGCAGCATCACAGGTGGCTTTAAAGCACTTTGGCAGAATCCACTAACTAGAATGTATTCGTCAGGTACCCACAAACCCAAGTGTTCCGGCTATGAATATGAGCGTTACTCTCTCCTGTGTAAGCCTTTAAGGAACTCTCAGACGTGGTGTTACAACTCCAAGTTGTCTGTTATTAGTTGCATCCAGATTTACTTTTCATGAAACTTGTGTATATTTCTTGGTTAAAAGGAGTATTCTTATGAAAAAAGAAAAAAGAAATAGACAAAACATAAAATAGACTCTTAATTATAGAGAACAAACAGGGTTGCTGGAGGGGAGGGGGCAGGGGAGGGGCTCAATGGGGGCTGGGGATTAAGGAGGGCGCTTGATGAGTGTTACATGTAGGTGATGGATCCCTGAATTCTACACCTGACAGTAATATTATCCTGCCTGTAAACTTACTAGAATTTAAATAAAATCTGGAAACAAACATAAAGGGGTGTTCTTACAAACCCTTCTCACTGCTGATTTCAGCTGAAACTCCCATCTTTTGAGTAGCTTAAATCTAATATAATACTTTTGAAGGAACCTTATGGTACATCTCATTTAACTTCCTGTCCTTGCCCATGAGACAGGTGGGGTCTAGAGCCTTTACATAATTTAAACACAGCAGCCAGTGGTAACAGCACAGTGGAATCTGCTATTCTCCTAAGTCCTCAGGCCAGGGGTACTGATTAACCAGGCCTTTTATGCTTATTATGGAACTCGGGAGTGTAGTTAATCTCCTGGGCTTGGTATTACTCTCCAGAATGGAAAGCCAACAGATTCTGGCCTACTGTACCGAAGCCTTTTCTGTTAAAATATTCGGGGCCTTGGTGGCTTTACATTGAACTCAGCATTTTGTACCTTGGGTGATGAATATTACCAAATAACTAAATCACTTCTGCTGTGTGTATGAAGTTATTTTCTTGTTAAATTGAATGAGAGTCTGATGGGGGTGCAGTTCTTAGCACTCCCATCTCTTCTCTAGCAAATACTGAACCCAGCAGTCTTGACTGCAATAGAAGTCAGTCCCTGAAGACCTGTCAGGTACACCTTCAGACTAATCCTGATTCTCTCATTTATTGACTATAACAACAGGTTTCCAAGGTGAAGAGAGGTTCAGATTTAAGGGGAAAATGCCTCTTGTCAGATGTGTTGTAATTCATTATTTAATTTTCTTTTTACTAAGAGAAATTTGCTGTTAAAAAAAAAATTCTGTTTCCATTTTCATTACTGAAACAGTGGCTACTGTTGAGATGACCTCACCGTGGAACCCAAACTAGAATTCCAAACCCAAAAGGGCTTTGACTGCAGAGCTAAGAAATCATATGTGAATACACACTTCATCTGAAACATTGTGTTTTATGATACTAATAGGTAGCTTTGCCCCAGGCTACTTGCAGAGTTGGTGTGCGGCCCCCCCCCGCCAACCCCAAACACCCGCCGTGTTTGTTGCTGGATTGGGTCGTCATCCAGCTAGATGGTACTCTACTGGAGTGGTCCTTTGCCTTTCGAGCATGTCAACGATCTAGCTTCCATTTCTCTCGTGGAGATCAGCTTTGGCATTTAACCCACAGGCCTTTGGAAAACAGGTTTGCACGAATGTAAACTCGGGGTTAATCCTCCACACCCTCAATTCTAGAGCTGTTGACAAAGTCATGCTTTGTGGATTTTAAAATAAACTTTTTGTCACTCTCTGCAGCTTTTGGTATTTCCCCTCCCATTTTTTTTTCTTTTTTTTAGCTCCCTCCTAAATACACTTCTTTGTTAAATCACTGATGTTTCTGGATCGTGGAAAATAGTAAGCTTGAAGCCCACAGAATACATCCAACTTGACTACAGATCTGATGACAGGTCTTTGAATGTGGACCTTTATTACTTGGGTCCTTTTTGGCCCTTCACAAAAATGGTAAGATTCCATGCTTGTGATAATATTGCTGACTCTCTCTGGAAAACAGTCAGCTCTGGGCAGCCTTCTTCCTGTATGGTATTTAAGTTAACTCACTATGAAAACCACATTCACACCCTTCCTCAATTTTCCTTCCTTTTTTGGTGGGGACTTGCGGGGAGGGTTCTCCTGTCTGGCATATAGGAGACAATGTTTTCCCCAGCTGGGCTCCTTTTCTCTGGGACTTACACGTCTGACAGTCCTATTATGAGTGAGATCGCCACACACACACCCTATTAAATGAAAAATACTGTAGTAGTAGGCAGACAGCTAACTGATGGTGTTGTAAGTTGCACCTCCCTCCACTTAGCTATTTTGTTCCTTGTAGATCATGGTCTAATTATTTAGCATTAAAGGGGCACTCATTCTGTGGGGTGTGTAATCATATTTATAGTACCTTTTATTAGTTTGCATTCCGTCGTGGTGGTGTGGTGATATCATAAATAACAGAGAGACATAATATCCGATGCTGGTGAAAGGATTTTCTTACAGCCAGAGCATTTTTCCTTGTCATCCTTCGGTTTGCTAGGGGAGGTGGGGGAAATACGGTGTGTGCTCATGTGTTCAGTGCCCGGTGTCTGGCATTGGTTAGGGAGTCCGAGTGCCCTGCCTCTTCGGAAAGAACTGTCCCGTGAATTTGATGCCATCTAGATTTATAGCGGCATGGCTTGGACTGTGTTTGCTGCCTTAGTCAGCTGTGAGAGCTCCCTGCTGGGGCCACTCCTGTCTGATGGAAAAGCAGCAGCTGGGAAGGTGCTGTTTCAGGCTCTTGCTGTTTTTAAAAAAAAAAAAAAAAATGAGAGAGAGAGAGGGGGGAAAACTCCAGTAAGTCCACAAGCTGGCATTGGAGGGGGAGACCGTGGTCATGTGGTTCTGGCCATCCTACCCTCTGTCACAGTGCGGATGAGAGCTTTTTGCTCTTATCCAATCATGCCTGGAATGCCGCTTGCCACTTGGGTTATTTCTGCTATCTGTCGCTCTTGGTGCCGCAGTGCTAACGGTTTGGCAGATGGGACACTTTTTCTTGGAGTTTGTGTCTTCGGTTTTTGACTTCTGGCAGCGCCGGGTGTGTTGTTGCCGCTCGCCCTCTCCCTCCCTGCCCCCCTGGGCACCATGGCCCATCGGCTTCGGTTTCATTTTGGCTCGGGGCGCAGCAACACGGCCCCCGAGTCCGAGATCCTAGACCAGGAGAGGGAAGACGACTTTTTCATGGCATTCCACACGCTGCCGCGGAGGAGCAGCCCGCACCCCTGTGCCCAGCACGGCGCGGAGGCCGGCGGGGGCCTGCGGGAGGCGGTGGGCGCGCTCAAGCGCAGCACGTCCATGTTCATCCCGCAGCTCCTGGGCCCGCTCGACGCGCGGCCCACCCGCAGCTCGTCCGTGCAGATCTCGCTGCAGCGCAAGGCGGCCGACGGAGCCCCCGACCCGGGCTTGCCGCCCGAGGGCCCGGACGGCGATGCGGGCTCGGCGTCTCGCGTCGGTGGCCCGGAGCCCCCGAAACCCGAGACCCCCGGGAGCTCGCCCCCAAGGGCAGCCCGGGCTCCGGGCCCGCAGCTCAACGGCACGTGCGGCCGCCGAGCGCCCGGCTCTGCCGCCTGCGATGGCCGCGAGGAGGCCGAGCCGAGGGCCCCCCGGGGCCCCGAGGGGGGCGGGGGGCTGCGGATCCAGCACCGCGCCTCCAGCGCCGACGTGCGCCAGGTGAGGCTGACGCCCTTCGGGGCCGATGGCCAGAACAGCCCTTCGGCGCCGGAGCCCAGGCGCTGGTCCCTGCAGCATGTTCCGGATGCTTCTGGAAGCTCCGGGAAGCGCTGCTTCGTCTTCCAGTTGCAGCAGCCGCAACCGGGCGCTCCGGGGACGGGCGGGGATTTCAACTTCGGTTTCACCGGCACCAAGGGGGACAGGCTGGTGAGGTACCCCCGCATCCGGCTGGAGAGGAGCACCTCGTACCCCACGCAGCCCCGCGCCGAGCGCGGGAGCCCCACGGAAGAGCGGGGCCACCCGGAGACGCCACCTCGGGGCCGCAGGGGGGCTCCCGAAATCCACAGGACGAACTCGGTGGAAAGGACGCCACAGGGGCAGGGCTGCACGTTTAAGATCAGGCAAGATCAAAATGCCGGGCAGCAGCACTTCAGAATTCTCGTGACCCGCGGGCCGGACGAAGCCCCCCAGAATCCCGAGGAGAGTAACGCCAGCAGCCCTGGGTCCGCGGTGGCTGGCGCCCCGGTAAGTTGGCTGCGTTCGCGTGTGAGCGCCGGCTCCAAGGGGACTCAGTCAAGCCCAGAAAGCTGCTTCTGCAGGCTAATTAAAACAGACTTCATCCTCCTCCTCTCTGGGAATTTCCCTGCTTCGGGCCATTGTAACAAGGTCTGGCTGAGCTGTGGGACCATGATTTGTAGCCCGGTCCTTTGTAGAAGCCCATAAAACTGTTAGTCTTTAAGACGACACTATGTGTTTAAATCCTAAAAGTCAAATAAGTGTTTTGAAGAGCGATGTGATCCCTGCCCCCTCCTTGCCCCTTTCTGAATAAAAGAAATTTTTAAAACTTACTACTTCAAATGAATCTGCGGGTGCCCCAACTTCTTGCCCTTCGAAATTCATTTTAAAACTGTTTGCATGTGTAGCCTGTGATAATGTTTCATTTAAAAATAACCAGTTCTCCTAAAGGTGAGACAGTGTCACAAAAACTTGAGTCTAGTCTCTAACAATTAAGTGCGCGGAAAGTTTGATCAGTTCTTCCTAATGGCCCTTTTTGCTTTGGAGGGTTGGCCCTTGTTATATAATTTATTGTCTTTGGGCTTTTGCCCCATTAAGTAATGCTGAACAAGAGTAGTCATGCTTGTGGGAACTTGTTCATGGTGAGATTTCAGAGGTCGTGCAGCCTAACACGGGCCACTTGAATGTCTAACCTGGAAGTTGTATATAGAATAGTAAGTGTCCTGTTTTTTAGCTGTGGAATCAGGCACCCTAAAGACAGATTTGGTCTTTCATTCCTCCTGCGATCTTACTCTCTCCCTTTGGTGAAAGGGAGTACAGAAAGACAGCTGCTAATTTCACCAAGCAAATGATGACTCTGCAGCTTTCATGGTTTACAGTGGGATAAAAGGTTTTACCAGTTAACTTCCTTTTACCTAGTAATTACCAGTCACCGAGTGCTGTCTAAACAGCGGACTCCTTATATTTTGAACTGGATTCCCCCCTCCCCTCCCCCGCCCACCCGCCCTGGATTTATTTGGTGACCTGTTTTGATGATAAGATCGTGAAACATAGAGGCAACTTTCTGTTTGGGTTTTGGTTGTGCGCTGTGACTTTTCAAAGTGGATGACTGAGTATTACTGTGGAATTGGATCGTCTTTTATTGCCCTGTGTTGAGAAATGTTTTTGGCTGTCCGGTGAATCTTACCACACCGCTCCATCATTGGTTTGCACCATTTGGAAGGTGTATTCAGATGCTCTGTGCAAATACGATTTTTCTTGGTGTTCTGTAAATGTTTCTTCTGCTTTCATTTCCATCCATCCTTTTATTATCTCTAACCCTTTTGTTAGGAAATGTCTGAGTGCTTTGTCTTGATTCTGAACCAGTATCATTTTTATATAATAGTACAAATTTCAGTAGCATTTTGATACCATAATAGTTCTGACCTTCACCCCAAGACAGTACATCACAATAGTTGTAGGCTTCACTGGGCAAGACAATTTTTTGTTGAACTTGGACCACCTGCCAGTGGAAGTTTCACAAACAAAATGCCTTCCTAAAGGTTTGGTAACTATCAGTGATATTACCAAAAACTGAAGTCATTTTGCAGTTTGGTGTCAGAGACAGATGGGTTTATATAATTGAAGTCTCATTTGGCTTGAGATTTCTAATGCAATTAAGAAACAAATAGGATATACTAAAACTGATGTGTACTTAGATACAAGGGCTATTCTCACTTGAGTCCTTGAAAGGACTGTGAGAGCAGAAAACATTTCTTCCCAGTTTGGAAATTTAATGTCTAGAATAAAGAGCCTTTCTTGAAAATAGGTTCTCTGGTGCAAATTTCATAGGTGTAGTTCTCAACATGTGAATTTTTATACACCTGTGTATTTTTGTTCATGGACATAAATTCGTTGGTAAACAGCTGGGTTGTTTTTTTTTTTTTTTTTTTTTTAAAGCAATAACTTTTTTTCTTTAAGAGGCAGAACTGAAACTCGTCACATCACAGAACCGTCTGCTCCATTCAACACTTTGTACGTGTTTCATCCGGGCAGGGTTGTCAAGTCTAGGAGGCAGCTGCCCTGGCCTTATTTATCTTGAGGGAAAACATTCACTGGGGCGTCTCCAGTCTGGCTGCCACCAGGCTTTTTTGATGGTTCACATGTCTGCTGCTTTGGTCAGAAGGGTACATGAAAAATCAACTAAAATCTGTTGTGGCCTGGTTTTTAAATGCCATCAGAAATCTTTCTTGATTGGGCAAACCACTCAGACTTCCTTTTACAAATGTGCGCCTATTTCACATCTATCTTCTGCCTTGGACCTTCTTACAGGGTTACCCTTTAGAGTAGTTTTCTGTGTTTCTGTCTCCCAGACATCCTGCCATGAATAAATCTCAGATGCAATGTGACTTCAGAAAAAAAAATGTCAACCAGCTAGATTCCTGGGCCCGGGGGGGACGTGGAAACCCCCTTTGACGCTTTTCCATCTGGTCTGGCCTCCCATTCAGTAAAGTAGAATTGGTTCTTGTGGTCATCCACTGGGATATTTCAGAGGACTTTAGAAATGAGCTTCTAAAGTCATTTGTGGTGTTATGGCCAGCCATTTAGTGAATGACTTATTTTCTGAGTTTTTGAGGTATCTGGTTTGGCTATGGACTGCTTCGCTGTATTGTGAGTTTTTCTCTCAAAGTCAGATCCCTCTTTCCCAGCATTGGTGCCCCCTTGAAAACAGTCCCAGGCATAACCACTGCTAAGTTCTGTACTACACAAGCTGAGTGCTCGTATCCCGTTCATGTTACTAAGTATTTCAGGTCCACTGTGTATATAACATTACACTAGGTAGTTGGATGGTTTTCTGGCACTGTCTGCAGCTGCTTGCTAACAGAGTTTGTAATGTAAACGGGGGGGGGGGGGGAAGGCGGATGCAGGCAAAAACAGGTAGTCTCCCACCCACTACATACACCAGTGGGGAAGGGAGTATTTCTCCCTTTTTTGCACCCTGGGTCTTCTGTGTTTTCTCTGAGCCCTCTCAGTGGACATCAGTTTTGCAGAAGTAGAGGAATCATCTCTTGGGATTAAAAATTCATCTTATCAGACAACAAAAGAATACCCAAACTGTTGATATCTGGAGGGCATTTTAATTTGAATCTCTTTCAGAGATGATGATTTTACTGTACGGAAAAACTTTGACACCAGTACTAACTGGTGTCACTTTTTTACCCTAAAAAACAACTTTCTGAATATATGTATAAACCACCCCTTTGTTTAAAAAATCCACACCAGCAGCAGTGTGATGAGTAAGAAAAAAACTGCTGTTTCTTCATTCACCGGGCTGGATTCTATAAACATTTTTCCCCTTGAATATAGTAACGTCTTATTGGGGTCTTACGAGAATATTCCAATGCTACGCAACAAAATTTGAGCTGTTCTCATGGATTCTTGATTCCGCGTCCCTCAGGCTTGACAATGACAGGAGTTTTTAGTCTCTCTAGTACTTCAGCACTTGAAGGATACCTTCGTCTGTTTCACTTAGTCCTTGTAACTAACATCTGGTGGGAAGGCATTGCCTCACTCAGCCTTCCTTGCTATCCTGCAAAATACTGCTGTTTTTCTATTTCCGATGAAATTGTCACTGGATGTGGGAACTAGCATATTCTATCACTTGGTATGTGCGTAATGGGAATTTTAAAAATATCCTTGAACAATTTAAAAGTCTGTGTAGCCAAAAAGTAGTTAAATGCTTCCAGTGATGTGGCATTTTTGCTGAAATTTTTGGAGGTGGTACCCCAGTTGGTGCTTTGCAGTGTAACAGAGAGAAGGGGGCAGCTTTGGAGACGCCCAGGGGCAGCTTGGCAATTTACTGACCTGTCTCAGGGGAGTTAGAAGCCTTCTCTGCGATTACTCTTCTGTGAAAAATGAGGATAAAAATGTCCAGCTCCCAGGTTTCTGGTGAGGTTTAAATGAGGGAGGATATGTGGAAGTACCTGGTTGAGGTTAATGTTGGGGTTGGTTTTCCTTCTTAACCAAATAGTCATAGTATACAAATCTTTCTTCCAGGAAGGTAATCAGGTTAACTCTGAACAGTCAGGTTTGGGTTAGCATTAGGCATAGCATGGATTTAAGGCATACCTGGAAATACTTAATAAATAGCTTTGATACTCTTGTGTCATGTCGTCTGTCCTAAGTCTGGCTGTTGGATAATCAGCAGCACAGATACCTACCACCACCTGTGGTGATGGGTCCCTAAAAAGACTCCAGTTCATTGGTGAGCTCTGGGTTGCAGAAAGGGATCTTTAATTGCATCCGCTGTAGTGAATTTTCAAACTTTGAAACATCTGTTTCACACTTCATATTTTTGCCATATCATTTTGCTGTAACATTTCCATTGGTTACATTTTCTTTCTTACAGGTTGAGGCTCTCGAGCAGCAATCTGTTGTTATCTGTATAACATCTCCACGTTGTATGATTTGCAAATGAGGGTAGTGTTCAGGCCTTATCAGAGTCTGCCTTTTGGAGGGTTTTCATAAATGCTGCAGCTGCTGTTCTTGGTTAAGTCTGGAGCCAGAGTTCCTAGGAATTGAAGTTAATCCATAATTTTGTGACACATGTTAAGAAGAAAGTTGTTATTGCTACATAATAATTCACAATACTAGAAGAAGTTGAATTCTCTTAAACTATAGTAAATGTTGGGTGTCTATATAGTTGATTCAACACTTAAATAAACAGAATAGATTAAAAGAACAGGGAGTTAAGGCAGGCACTTAAAGGAGCAGATACAAAGTATCTGAACACTAGGTGTAGGGACCACAGCCGGTCTGAAGCAAAGGTTTTTGTTTGTATAATTGATGGTTTAGAACTAATTGAGTCCAATCTAAATGTTAATGTATTGTACAACTTGAGATAATGAGGCACATTTTTAGTAAAAATAAGCACATATTGCTGAGCTAGATTACTGCCCTTGAGTATTTTGACACCCCCCCCGCCCCCTCTCTTAATGATAGTACCAGGACATTGCAGTAATGAGGAAAAA